GCTCCCCAGAAACTGAGCCTGATGGGCTCCACTGGTGATGATGGTTTTTAACTGAAGACTGAAACCCCCACAGATCCTTTTGAGACAGAGGAGTGGCTTTCCTGGTTTGGCAGAGGTGTCTGGGCTGGCCAGGGTCAGTGATGATGAGATTGCTGGTTCCCCAGCACAGGTGGAGGCAGAGAGAGGAGAAAAGCAGAGGGTAATGGGGTGGGATGGATTGGCTTGGAGTGGGGGGTCAGCCTGGCATTAGTGCCCCAGGGATCCACGTCCCAGGGGAGCTAATGGAAGTGTCACTGTGGTTAGAGGTGCCAAATCAGGCAGGGCTGGTGATGGACCAAGGCAGAGCTTGGGTTTGTAGGTGAATCCTCTCCTGATGTCTCCTGGTTGGCCTCTCTGTCATTTGTGTGTCCACAGAGGTTCTCTCACTTCCTTCTCTTCCCAGTTGGCAGACCTTCCCTCCCAGGTGGGGGCTGAGAGCTTACATTGAATTCAGAGGTGCCCATGGAGATCCTGAGGGGCTGGTGGAGGAGGTTGTTTTGGCTGCAGCACCTGAGCTGCTGTCAGTCTGTAGGTCTGGGCTGGGTGCTCTCCTGCAGGCATGAGGAGACCCTCAGAGGGTTGGAAATAGCCTCATTACTTCCAAACTTGCACCTCAGGGCCATGTCCCTGCTCAACCTTTTTGGTTGGATTTTTTTTTTTCCTCTTTTTGCAAGCCAAGACATTTCTGCTCTTCCCTGAGTCAGCCTTTCCCCAGGGATCATCCCTGTCTCTGGGTGAGCAAACCAGCCCTGGTGTGTCTGAGCTGCCTGATTCGTGGAGGTCAGAGGGCAAAATGAATTGCAGGGGTGATGGTTGGGAGCTGCATCCAGTGGTGAACTTCAGCCTTTCATTCCTGAGCAGGGGAAAATGGAAATGATGCCCTGGCAGAGACATTATCCATGCACTGATGAAGCCTTTATTAAAATTAAAAAATAAAATATAAATATATATATTAAAGGGCCCAGGGTTTGCTGAAAAGAGATTATTTTCTGCCTTGGTGAGGCCACATCTGGAATATTGTGTCCAGTTCTGGGCCCCTCAGTTCCTCAAGGACAGGGAACTGCTGGAAAGAGCCCAGGGCAGAGCCACAGAGATGCTGGAGGGAGGGGAACATCTCCCTGGTGAGGAAAGGCTGAGGGAGCTGGGTCTGTTGGGCTTGGAGAAGAGGAGACTGAGGGGCCACCTCATCCATGGGCACAAATCTGTTCAGGGCAGTGTCAGGAGGACAGAGCCAGGCTTTGTGCAGTGATGTCCAGTGACAGGACAAGGGGCACTGGGTGCAAACTGGAGCACAGGAGGTTCCATGTGAATGTCAGGAAGAACTTGTTTGCTGTGAGAGTGCCAGAGCCCTGGGCCAGGCTGCCCAGAGAGGCTGTGGAGTCTCCTTCTCTGGAGACATTCCAACCCCCCTGGCCACGTTCCTGTGTGATGTGCTCTGGGTGCCCCTGCTCTGGCAGGGGGGTTGGGCTGGGGGAGCTTTCCAGGTCCCTTCCAACCCCTGGGATTCTGTGATTAACTGTAGGGCAAAAGGAGGAAGTGAAAGCCCAACTGGGCCCCTCACCATCCTTCCTGGTGCTCCAGCTGGTTGGGTGCATTAGCAATAAACCAAGGGGAACCCAGCTCCTTTGGAAGGTGATAAGAGCAGAAGAAGCAGTAAATCATTAAACCAGCACAATGCAGGGGTTTCCAATAAACAGGGAACAAAGGGCATTAATTACAAGCCAGCAGGGACTTGGGCACCTTATCAAAGGTGCAGGTTGGGTGCTGGGGGAACGAGGCTCTGCAGGGATGCCCTGGAATGGTGGTGGTGGGTGCCCACCCCAGCCTCAGCTGGACCTTCTTGTCCACAACGTGGTTGACCACAGGCACTGAGAGCCATGGGGATCAACCTGGGCTGTTTGCTCACAGCTGCAAACATGATTGGTTTGGGGTTCCCCCCCTTTGCGTGTTTTCAGGGGAGGAAGAGAAGCAGGAGAGATAGTTCACCTGGTGACACATCCCAGATAAGCAGTTCTGCTTCCTGCTAGTGAGCAACCAGCACAGTGCAGGTGGCAGCAGCCCCAAAAGAGTCCCTGTCACCCCCCAAAATCACCCCATCTCACTGCAGGGTGGAGGTGCCAGCCAGGTGGTGGGAACTGCACTGAACTGACTTGTGAGCTTCTCTCCTTTGATTGCTCAGGGCAGCCTTTAGGTCCTTCCATTCTTTACTTCACCCATCCTGTGGGAAACCATCGGGTCCCATGAAATGCCTGCCTGTCAAACATACCTGCTGGGGCTGGGTCCTGGAGGTCCCTGATGGGCTGGGAGGGGGGTGTTCTAGTTCCAGCATTGCTGCAGCTCCTTGTGGCTGCAGTGGCTCTTCTCACAGGGTTCAGGGATGGGGTTAGTTCTGCTTTCATTCATTATCCTGATGTCACAGACTCACAGAATATTGGGGGTTGGAAGGGACCTCTGAAGATCATGGAGTCCAACCCCCCTGCCAGAGCAGGGACAAACCCAGGCAGGTCACTCAGAAAGGCATCCAGACAGG